GGGGGGAGGAGAGGAGAGGAGAGGAGAGGAGAGGAGAGGAGAGGAGAGGAGGGTTACTTTTTTTTAACAATATGCTCTTTTATCTTTTTCATTGAAATCAAAAACAGAATCAATTTTAACAAGCTTTGAATGTCACAGAAAAAATCTTCTCAACCGCATTGCGCACTTTGAATTTCTTCCTTCTTTTCCAAAGTTTTTTGGCGACTGGTTTATTTGGAATTATCTTCATTGATTAGTTAAAAATTAGTGACCAGAGACCATGCTTCGATACATTGAATGCTGATCCATCGTATGGTAGCGCGAAGCATTTACGGTAACGCCGGAGATTTCGACCGCGACACCCTATCCCGGGAGGATTTACATTCTTTGCCGTTAGATTGGTTAGAAGTTTGACATGATCAAAGACTGTATTTTTAGGGCCTTGTATATTATATTTATTTTTAATTATAGTTAATCAGGACCATACTTCCAGACATCGAGTGCTGAACCGTCGTAACCCATGTAAACTAAGATCAACTGCGATCGGCTGTGAAAATTATCTGCTGAAAGTAAACTTGTAAGTTTGTTTGTCCGAATTTCGCCGTTGTCTTCGTTTTTATGACGTCATGGTTGCGCTGCGCTATTACGATGTCGGTCCATCCCTCCCCTTACCTCTCACACAAACATACTACGCATGCGTAATTGTTACTTAGGTCACAAATAGCTTACGTCCTTTACTTATAAAAAATTGAACAGATTTCTAGAAAAAATTATAACGAAACAAAACGAAAAATTTAAAAAACAGCTTTAAGTACAACCTGTGTGTGACGCTGTACATTCTTTCTACTTATTTTCTATAAACGTTTCTTGTCATTTCTGCGCTTTTCTTTCACAAATGAATCTTGCACTTCGAGTTATCCCTCGCCCACACAACAGCTGGAACAACGCTACAAAAACTAACCAATCGAAACTCGGGTTTTCCTCACGTGATTTTCACAACGTTCTTATAGTAGTGGGGATGTTTACATAGTAATAAAGCCTATACAATGATTTCTTAATAAAATTTTCGTTCAATTAAACTACAGTGAGATAAAAAGATCCGACAAACTGTGGGTTCAGTTTTCAGTTTAGACGAATAATGAAGAACGAAGGCTTTATTTCAACGCGAGAATAAAGTGATAACTGTGAACCTAGCATATCCGTAACATATCCAATCGCCTTTTAGGAACCTCTGGTGTGTCGTGTTCGATTTAGACTGTACTCAGTATCATATATGAGTGGCTATATGAGTAGCGTTTTTTAGGTCTCTCCCTAATTTCGCGTATTTTTTTCTCCAGTTTTCCCATCGACAGAATTTTCTGGCGACAGAAATTTTACCCCTGGGTTTCGAAGAATGCGGGCATCCTGCCTTCAAATGACCTAACACACTGGATTCCAATTCCATGTGTGAGTTCACTGTGCCAAAGGAGGATGTTTCACTAGCATGCTTTGAGCTCGTACTCATTATGCATCTGTCTTTAGCGTTTGTTTGAAAAATTTCCTCTCGACGGTGATTTTCTTCCGTTTTTTTTTTTTGCCAAACAAAAACAGCAGCAGTTCGCTCATCAAAGATTTACTGCATCCATACTGATGAACAATAGAAAGTCTGGACATTTCTCTGGGACCTAGTTCGGTATTTTTGTAATTTTTGCCATAGGTGCCCAAACGGTTATTGTCTGAGCTAATGAAATGTTGTGTTACTTATGTTGACTGCTTGGATTTGGCAGCTACGAAATGCGTCACAATTGAAAAATAGAAAGAAAAGGGCATGGAAAATGAAAGATTGATAGAGTACTACTGAAAAAGGAATGAATTAAATATGATAAAGAAAGACTGTAGTATTAAAGACAGTAATTAAGATACAAACACAAAGCCGCCATAGAAAATGAAAAATAATTTTACAAAAACATATTAAAAGTGGATGAAAAAAAAACCAAACAAACCTGAATGAAATAAAATATATAAAATCTAAATAAGAAAGTAATGAGAAATAAGAAGAGTAATGGTAATAAACGATTGAAAGTATTAAAAACATGAAAAAAATATGATGAATATGATACGCTCATGACTAATTTAAGAGCAAAAAGAAATTCCCTTTCATTTCCGTTTCTTCTCTTCTCTTCTCTTCCC